TCCGGAAATATAAGTCTAAGGACTAGAAACGGAGTTACGGAGGTAGGGAAGGAAGTATAAGTTACCCATACGGGTAGTTAGTATATACGGATAAGAACGAGGGCGAAAAAGACGATAAAGATATATAACGGGGGAATACGAACGAAGAAGTAGGAAACCCTTAGGACGAGGGAAGACTAGGGGCGGGCCGAAGATATATATATACGTATTATTTCCTTTATAATACGTACGCCTAGATAGGTATAATACTCCTTTATTACTATACTAGGTAGTAGAGACCTAGACTTGTAGATTAAAGGAAAAGAATAATGGAAGAGGCCGATAACGCCTTAAATAAGGACCGTTCGCGCGGGAAAAGAGTATAGATAGAGGGACCGTATTCCTTTAAAGGATAGTCTATAGACTAGTACGGTAATAAGATAATATATAATAGTAGCTTTTATAACGGGCCGACTATACTCCTTAACCTAGCTAAAATAGGTACCGTTACGAGCGAGGGAGAGACTTAACGTAACCCCTAGGGATAATAAGGTACGGGGTTATATATAATATTCTTCGTCGAGGGTAAATTAAGCTATATTATCGAAATCGTAGGTTATATCTATATAAAGATAGGGGGGTAGGTAGTTAGTTTTATTATTATTAGTTAAAGGTAAATAGGGGGGAGGGGGGAGGAGGTATACTTACAGACTATATCGATAAATCCGACTTTAACTATACGTATAGCTATCTTAAGGTGTTTTTTTAGACTGTTACGGCATTATAAGGTAGAAAGGGGTAGATAGCAGATGGAAAAAAAGGTGTAAAATAGTACAGATGTTAGTTGTCGAGAGGGGAAGAGAGGCGGCAGAATTCTACGGCCCTGGGCTAAGATCGAGTCTGTTTTAGCTAACCAGAGGCTCTGAATTCAGTGTGAGTGGGCCTAAATCCAGCCCAGATAGTCCGTGTAATAAGGTGGATAGGTGTGGATAAAAGGGGGCTGTCCAATTCGTTGTCCAGATTCTTGGCGAGGCGTGGCGCCTTGGCAGAATAAGTGGGGGAATTCCACTACTTTCATGAGAGCATACGGTAATCCGTAGCACCTGAGCTCCCTTTAAGCCCACAGCACCCACTAGCCTGGTAGCAATGACGAGCACTCTTAAGAGGACCCTTACCGGTCGCAACCGCGCACTGCTCGGAGGCCGATTTGTAAGTCGTACAATCTTGGACATGGCGCATCATTGAGGGTGATCGAGATGCGAGTATATAACCCTGTGATGCCCGACCCGTCTTCAACTGATCCCTCCCTCCAACCCCTCCAACCTACCTAAACACCAGCTTCTCACCACACCAACATCAGATCACCCCCAACTTCAGCATCCCGACCCCCTTGACCAGCACCCAGCCAATCATAGCAACTCCCCTGAACCAAACCCAAGCGAGACTCAAGTCAAAGGGCCCCAACAGGAACTTCTTCCAACGAATTCCTCCTCCTTTTAATTCTCGTCGCTACCGCCTTGGTTTTTGGGCTCTGGCCTTGACTTTCACCAACTCGCTCTTGTTATTCAACCGCTTCAACCGAAACTCCGATAACGCTGCCATGTCGGACACTCTGATTCCCTCGAACCCATCCGATGTCATGGTTATCCGTGACGTCACACCCAACGTCGTGACGCTTTCAGTCCCGTTTCTGCGCTTCAACAGAATCCCCATCGGTGGCCGCGGCACCATTGGTGAGCTGCCCCTTCCTCTGTGACCCAACCTGGGAGTCCCGACAGCTAATCCTTATCCAGTACGGCTCTCATCGGGCGCCCTGGCCGTCTTCTCGCCCGTCGCCCTGACCCCCGAGGTCAAGGCCAAGCTGGTCGAGCTGGGCAACGAGCTGCGCTACATCATCGCGCCCGACATTGAGCACCACATCTTCGTCTCGGACTGGAAGGCCGCCTTCCCCAGCGCCACGCTGATCTGCGTCGACGGCCTTCCCGAGAAGAGAGCCGCCCAAAACGACCCCAAGATCGGCAAGGACGCCTTTGACGTCGTCTTCAAGCCCGACACCAAGCGCACCACCTCCATCAGCGCCGAATTCGACCAGGACTTTGAGTACGAGTACGTCGACGCCCACGCCAACAAGGAGCTCGTCTTCTTCTACAAGCCCGACCGCGTCCTCATCGAGGCCGACCTGCTCTTCAACCTCCCGGCCACCGAGCAGTACTCACGCGTTCCCGAGAAGGACCGGCCCAACCCGGGGTTCCTGGCCCGCCAGTTCATGAGCCTCCAGTCGACGCAGGGAGAGGTCAAGGGGCTCAAGCGCTTGACCTGGTACGCCATCAGCCGCGGCAACCGCGCCGGATTTAACGACAGCGTGAAGCGCATTGCGGCGTGGGACTTTAAGATCATTGTGCCGTGTCACGGAGACGTCATTGAGGAGGGTGCCAAGGAGACGTTTGAAAAGGTGTTTGACTGGCACCTCAACGGCCGCAAGTGAGAATGAGGATTGGGAGGGGGGGGCATGATTTGACGCGATTGATACCATGATAGAATGTATGTTTCTCTGGAAGTTTGGGTTGGGTATAATGAAATGGGGTTTATATCAACATTGGATAGGGGCTCTGATATAAGCCCTAGGAATAATAGCATTGCTTACTCGAACTCACGCAAAGCGTGCTGTGTGACTCACATCTGCTGGACCCCAATGCAGGGGGAGCTGGGCTACAAAAGCATCTAAACTCCATTCAAATTCAAGAACAAAAGCTTGGTGGCGCAGCGGAAGCGCGCCGGGCTCATAACCCGGAGGTCCCTCGATCGAAACGAGGCCAAGCTAGATTCTTATTTTTTTTGGTTTCTCATCTGTACAATGCTCCATTTTTTTGCATGCTATCTTTTCGAGATGATGTCAGGGATGCCAAGTCTGAATCAAGCTCCCAAGTGACAGACCCCAACCCTTATCCGGGAAGTGGTACCCCTTATCGGCTCCAACATCAACGGATCGCGACCTTGAAGCCCACCACATTCCGAGCTGTCGATACACCCTCCCTTTGACCCAATTGAGCGCCCCGAGGTCCTCCCACATGCGTACAGGATCCCGCCTGCGGACCCTGTGTCTGCGCTGCCCCCGTAGCCATGGTGTGACACTGGGTTTCCAGCAGCGCCGACTGCTGAACCACTTCATCTCCAAAGGCACCCCCCCTCCCCTCAGTCGTCCATCGACACCCTTCTAACTGGCTGCCACAGAAGAAATCCCCTCCGACCTCCCAAAGGGTGCCTTCACGCTCGCCGTCAAGGACAATATCGCCACCGAGTCCCTCCCGACAACATGCGCCTCCGCCTTCCTCGCCCCCTACACCTCCCCCTTCGAGGCCACCATCGTCACCCAGCTCCGGCAGCGCGGCGCCGTCGTCGTCGGCAAGACCAACCTCGATGAGTTCGGCATGGGCAGCCACTCGACCCACTCCGCCTTCGGCCCCGTCACCCAGCCCGACTCCAACCTCTCCCCCGGCGGCAGCTCCGGCGGCAGCGCCGTCGCCGTCGCCACGGGCGAAGCCGCCCTCGCCCTCGGCACCGACACGGGCGGCTCCGTCCGCCTCCCCGCCGCCTACACCGGCGTCGTAGGCTACAAGCCCTCCTACGGCATGCTCTCGCGCCACGGCGTCATCCCCTACGCCAACTCGCTCGACACCGTCGGCCTCCTCTCCCGCACCGTCACCTCCCTCCAGCACCTCCTCCTCTCCGCCCCCACCCCCCTCTGGTCCGAACACGACCCCCTCGACCCCACCTCCCTCCCCCCCTCGACCCGCCGCCGCTGCGCCGCCCTCCGCCAAGGCTACACCCCCTCCGCCCCGCTCCCCACCACCCCCCTCCTCCCAACCCTCACCATCGGCCTCCCCCTCGAGTACAACCCCGCCGAGCTCGACCCCCGCATCCGCGCCGCCTGGGCCGCCGCCGCCTCGGCCCTCGCCGCCGCCCACGCCACCATCGTCCCCGTCTCCCTCCCCTCCACCCGCCACGCCCTCCCGGCGTACTACGTCCTCGCGCCGGCCGAGGCCTCGTCCAACCTCGCCAAGTACGACGGCGTCCGCTACGGGTCCCGCTCCACCGCAGCCTCGGACTACGCGGCCTCCCGCGCCGCGGGCTTCGGCGCCGAGGTCCAGCGCCGCATCCTCCTCGGCGCGTACACCCTCAGCGCGGAGGCCATGGACAATTACTTCCTGCAGGCGCAGCGGGTGCGGCGCGTGGTGCGCCGGGACTTTGACAGGGTGTTTCGGCTGGGGAATCCGCTTGTGGATGGGGAGGTTGAGGGGCCGTTTGACCTGAGCGATGTGCCGGAGGGCGTGGAGATGCAGAGCAAGCTGGGGCCGGCGCAGGTGGATTTCCTGCTGTGTCCGACGGCGCCGACGCTGGCGCCGCGGGCGGACGAGGTAAGGGACGGGCTGGAGGGGTACGTGAATGACGTGTTTACGGTGCCGGCGAGCCTGGCGGGGCTGCCGGCGGTGAGCGTGCCGTTGGGGGTGGAGGGGGATGGGCGGTGGGCGGGGTTGCAGGTGGTGGGGCAGTTTTGGGATGATGCGAGGTTGTTGGCGGTGGCGAGGGAGGTGAGGGGGGTGCTGGGGGTTGGGGAGAGGGGGGGGGAGGGGGAGTGGTAGGGTTGAGGGGGTTGGGTGTAGAGTTTATGTTGGGGGTCTGGCGGGTTCGTGGACTCATGACCCCGGGAATGGAGTTTAAAAGGTACATAGACAGGTCGGGCGGGAAGATACCACGAATCGATCAAGGGAATTCTTGTTGCCTTCTTGTTTCTGGATATAGTGAAGCAGCACATGAGATTTGTGTGATGATGCATAACTTTCTGAAGCCACTGGTGAGATTCCGACACCGTCGTCTTCTCGCCTCTGATTATACAGGCACATCCAAGAAAAAGGGGGCGTCAACGATCCCAACCAGCAACACCCGTTTAGACACGACACACCATCACAGTGACCAAAAAACATCCAGCCACGAGCACACGCAGGACCTGGCAGCAAAAAGAAGGGTTCAACGGGGATTCGAACCCCGGACCTCGCACAATAGAAGCATCCGTAGACGGATACCGGGAAAGAAGAACCCGAAGCACGAATCATACCACTAGACCATTGAACCGATGCTAGTTGATGGGGAGTCGCTGGACAAAGTCTCTCCAAGACGGACGGCAATTGCCTCGGTAATGGAGAGGGGCGGTGGATCGTGATGGCTGCGGATGGGGTCGTGATGGAGTCATTCGGGGAGGAGTGACTCATGATGGAGGAGGTTCCAGGCTGAAAATGCATTGGGGGAGGAGTGTGGTTTGGAATTTGATTGCATTGGATTCTGTATTTGGTTGTTGGGCGCTCAATTGACTGGGCTGCACGATGGAGCTGTTGTGTTTTGTCTGTCTGTCTGCTGCAGCTGTCTCTCGCCACAGAGCTGTGGACCAACTTTTGGGTCTCTTCTTGCGACCTCGGTCGAATTTCGCCTGCTGCTGTGGGACGTCGGAGTCCTGCGCGGAGTGCGTTGGCTGTTGCGGATTGCACCTTGGGTATTGCTCGTGGCATGCCGTGTCGCATTAATTACCATGGGCGTCTATCTTGTGCCCTGGGTCTGACGTGGTGGTCAGTTGTCTGGTGGGTAGTTGCGGGCTGTCTGTCTGAGCTCAAGGGCTCCGATCCCTCCTCTTTTCGTTCTCTGGCTCGTCAATGTCCATGACCTCCCCGTCTTCTGCGTCTTCGTCTTTTATCGACCTTGACCTAGACCTCGATCTGGACCGTGATCGTGAATATGACCTCCGGCGGGACCGGGACCGGGACCGGGACCGTGATCGCGAGCCAGACCATGACCTAGACCTTGACCTGGATCTTGACCTCGACGTGGACCTCGACGACCTGCTGTCCCCCCTTCTATCCCCATTCGCCTCCTCCTCCCGCTTCATCTCTTCGTCTTCCTCGTCGAGCAAATCCTCAATGTTCCCCAACGGGCTCACCCTCGGCTCCAGCAGCTCCAAATCCTCCAAAATATCCCTCTTCCGCATCTTCCACAGACTCGTCCCACACACGCGGCTCTTGGTGAGCAGGCCATCCACAAACTCGTCCACAAACGTCAGCGACGTGCCATCGCTCCGCTTGTACCTCAGCTTCCTCCTGTCCTCCAGCAGCGGCTCCAGCCACGTGTAGACGTCCTTGTCCTGGCGCGTCAGGCGGATGTAAAAGGCGGCCAGGGCGCGCAGGTACTTGAACTTTTCGCCGCCGAAGTGCAGGTACTCGTCGAGGATGGCGTCGCTGGGCGCGAGCTGCAGCAGCTTGAAGGCGAGGCACAGGAAGGGGCTCGGCTTTCGCGCGGTGCCGGTTGTGCCGCCGATGAAGCTGACGTACTCGACGACGCGGTCGACAATGTCGGCCTCGTTGACGGCGAAGCACTGCTCCATGTAGAAGTAGCTGGTGGTGATGCGCTCGCGCACCGTCTTCTCCAGGATGGTGGCCGGGTTGAGGCCGTTGGGCGCGAGCGGGCCGGCGCTGCCGCGCTCGTCGACGAAACTCTTCTCATTGGCTTGGTGGAATTGGGGTTTGGATTCGTGTTTCGACATCGTGGGATTTGGCGGTTGGTGTGTCGTGGTTCGTGGTGGTTGTTGGGTGACGCGTTGGAGATGCGACGGGCGGTTTGGAGGCGTTGGAGAAGAGACCCACCCCGCCGATGCAAGTTGAGACAGGGATCTCGACTTTTTTGGCGGTGCCGATAGCCGCGATAAGGGGTTGTTGCCCTGTCAACAGTCCAGCTTATTGACAATGCGCCTTCCCCCCCATGTGTCGGATGATATGGGCAATGACGAATGTCGATGTTCCTTGATTCTGCTGCATCCATCCGACTCTCGATTCGCCGAAACACACCGCATCGCATCAGGGTTTCTCCCAGCTCCAAGCTACAAATCAACCAACCTCCCACATACACACACACACACACACACACACTGCTGCTTCAAAACCAGTTCGTCCCTACCCTCTTGCCCCTGACTCGATACTGATCCCGCGAGGCAACTCGCCCCGAGAAACTCACCCACAGTCACACGCACACGAAAACAACCGGGACGAGATCCAAACACGCGAATATCCGTCCGCCATGCTCCTCACATCCTCCCAGGTCTCGGTGGCCGTATCCTCCGGCGTCGGTACGTTTTGACGCAGCCATCCGTCTCCCCAGTTACACCGTGCTAACATTGCCCCCTTTTCCCTCCAGTCTTTCTCTGCACCGCCGCCCTCTTCCTCAGCGGCTACGTTATCCAGCAACGAACATTACGGGACCTCCGAGCGGCCATCAAGCCGTCGCCGCGGCCGTCACCCAAGATATTCCTGCCCGACCGGTTCCAAAAGTCGACGACCGAGTTGGACGACGGGACGATTGTCGCGGTGCAGGACGATGTCCCGAGGAGGCGGAAGCAGAATGGGGGCATCGTGGTGGAGGTGAAGCAGACGGTGGCAGAGCCGGAGCGGGTGGGGGATGCGTCGGTCCGAGGGGAACAGAAACCAGTGGGGGTCCGGGAGGCTGGGGAGGCTGAAGGGCCGACGCGGACGCAAAGAGATGGGAAGGGGGAGGAGGAGAGGGTGGAGAAGCCAATCAGCAGGGCGGAGAGGCGGAGGAGGATAAAGGAGGAGATCATGAGGCTGTCGGAGGGAGAGGAGAGGGGGTACTACCAGCGGCGGTTGTGGTGATGTGGGAGGGGGGGGGCGCCACCCAGCAAGGCCCCGGCGGTTGAGCGGGTGGTCGCACTGGCTTTGGATGCCTACAGGAGTCCCGGGATAGCGATTGGGCCACGATGCATCATGGACGAATTATATCATATATCGGCACAGCAAACATATCAAACTCGACCTTACAGCGTGCACAGTCCATATCAGCAAGATCACTGTGCTGCAATAGTATCCGTAGGTTGCCTCCCAGGCACATTTGGAAGAGTTTCCATTGCTGACAAGGCCTTTTAAAGGACAGTCAATGCCACCTCCCTCGATACCTCTTCAAATGCCTGACCCCTCCAAGAAATCAAGAAGGTGCGGCGGCCATCGTCACCTCAAAAGTTCTAGCATGGCCTTTGCTTTCTCGTCTTCCACAGCCACCATTCCAGATCCCCCAGCACACCTTGCTATTCCATCTCACCCCCATCATGCCCGACCAAGAGCCGGGTCCGGGTACAGCTCCCCAGTTGACATCCCACAGCGCCACCACGCCATTTCCCTTCACAGACTCGAATACAGCCGATTCAACCACCAATGAACCAGGAGACAGAGATCCGGACCAGAGTGCCACAACAAGGATTCCTCCTCCTCCAGACTCCAACGTGGGAACTGGCAATAATGGTGCTCCTTCTGAAGAGACGGGTTTATTGTCCGAAGAGGAAGGCATCGCATCACCCGCACCGCCCACGAATTCGACGGACCCAGGACTGCCAACATACGACAAAATCACTGGCAAGTTCACGAACTGGGAACTGTCTACCGGCTTTCGTAATGAAAGAATAGCACTCTTCCAAGACTTTGCTCGAGTCGGTGAAGATGTGGATGGCGGGGACGGTGCGCCTTGGTTCGACTGCTTTACTTCACACTATTTCCAGGATGACAACCTGGTCCCTCTCCTGGAACTCGCCATCGGGATAGATTCAAGGAATACAACCCATCACAGACATGCAAAAGATCAAATCGCCAAGGTCTGGCCAAAATCAGTGCCGCTGCTTCGCTCCTTCTACCACTACGAACCTGTGGGACCCGGATCTCCCCATCCCTCCTTTGCCTTCCAGACTTCCTTGATAATTTCGGCGACAGTCTTTTCCATGGACTCCTTTCACATTCCGATGCGGATGGGAGAATCACGGTCGTGTGTGGCTAGCCATCTCACGCAAGGCATGGAGAATCACAACAATATATCCTGCCTCGTTCGGCGTCCCCAACCGCCGGATGCACGTGGTGATCTACACGGCATGGCTTTGTGAGCCTTCTCTCCGAAATTCACCACCGGGTTTGGCTGATTAACTGAGTGTTCATTAGTCAACTGAGCACGACAAGGCTCAAGAGTGGCACGCTGGTGCTCGGCTTTGATGTGATGGCATTCTTGTCAAGGATTCTGCGACTTGGGGATGACGATGAGCCAGGGCGAGATTCTTACCAGTTCTTCGCCCAGCATGCCGTTTCTTGGGATAACACAACTTCCTCAGGCCCCAGCATTCCACGAATCTTGACCAGCAATTCTGGGGGTCTCCAGCTCATCTTCTTGGCGCGCTCGTTTGCACCGAATACCGACCCATGTAAGGCGCCGTCCACCGTGACCCAGCCCGGTTTGCGATGTGAGAGAGAGGCGGGGAAGATGTCCCTGTGCGGCACTGTTCTGTCCTTTGTGGAAAGGCGATACTCGGTAGCTGGGCGTGCAATGCCTAGATATCGCGCCCGGGACATCTATCCATATGGAGTTTCCGGCATCCTCTACATTCGGGATCCAAGTCCCGTGAACGCGGCTCCAGACATTTCCTGCACATCTCAAACAAGGCTAGGTGCAAGAGACTTCGCTTGGACAGCCATTCGGGACCGGCTTGTCCTTTGTGGTTCTTATTCCGGGGTTGTGGAGTTTCAAAAGACTCTATGTACCGTATTGGATGCATGGTGTGTGCTTCGACTCTCTTACTGAAGACCTGTTAGTCAGTGAGACGTTAGCTCAGCAAGCTAATGTAAGCATAGGCAAGAGGATTGGACTGACGTCCTCTCCGAGATCGACCGCAGTCTAAACGTGAAGGTGGGATACATACTTGGCCATTTCTTCCTAGTTCAACGGCGTAGGCTAGCTGAGAAGCATTGCTAACTGTATTGGCCCGGCCACAGATCACAGACATCACCGACGATGTTTCAAGAAAGTCGTTGATGTACGGCGACGCCAGCATGCAAGAATCAGAACTCTACTTTGCTCTACTACAGCTTCTGCGCATCTTTGCGCAGTCCATACGCGAGACCTCCAGCCACTTGGAGATACTCCACGACCAGTTTGTGCAGCGTCTCGCACACAATCAAGCTTTCGGAATTCGGAATGTTCACGTCGCAGACCTGGATGATGAAAAGTATCATGTACTGGAACGGAATTGGCAAAGGGTCCTCAAG